AACACACACACACAAAAAACGAACACCAAAAAAAAAAAAAAGTTAAAAAAGGAATGTGTTGAAATATGGCATAAAAATTTATGCCCTTTTCAATGCATAAAGACTTATTATGCTTTCAATTTACACATTTATTCTTGTACTCAGCCATCAGGTTCTTCCTCATATGGTAATAAACCAAGTGATGTTCTGAGCAGACTTGTTCCCATGTCGCAAAACAATTGGAATTTTCCAATTCATGTTACATTTGCTAACAGAGCACAAATTGATGAGCCAGGAGCTGTACGCAGGAACAAAGCAGAACTTCCAAATGAAATGTTGCCATTTCAGTCTAAAATTATATAGTACAATCTTTGGATTTCAGAAAGATATAACATTGACCTCAGTTCAAAGCAAAACAACCATCTACTGCTGATGTCAACATTTCCCCACGATGATAACACTGATAGGGAAACCTCAACAAAACAGAAGCTTGAGATGGAAACTTTCTACAACAAAACCAAAGGTGGAGTAAAGTTGTTGATGAGTTATATACCAACTGTGATGTTGCCTGAAACACGAAGCATTGGCCAATGGTTGTGTTTTACTTGATACTAAACTTGTATAAAGTGTTTTATAGTTTACAAAGAAAATAACAAGTGCAAAGTACCATGGAGAAACTTTCTTAGAGAACTGGGACTGGAGCTCACAAGAGATCATTTACAGCAGAGGAAAAAGAAAATATTTTTGCCCAAGGAACTATACAGAAAAATTGTAGAGCACTTTGGTGAGCTGACAGGTGAACAGGCAGGTGCAGCATCACAAGACCTACTAGGACAACAGAAAAAAAAAAGATTTCAACTGTATCCTACAAGAAAGTACTGGAAAACAAAAAAAAATACTATCAGCATAAGCAGTACTTGTGTATGGAACAAGTAGTTGTCATGTGTGAAGACTGCCTTGGGTGTGAAGCAATGCTTGTTTTTGTTTTAGAGTTGTATTGGTATTTTCATTGCAGTTCTTATAAGAATTTATTTTTGATGTTATCTTTTCGATTTTGTAACTGAATACACAGATAATGTGAAAATGTTGATATTTCTATACACACAACACAAATTAAGAATGTAATACTCTATTTTATTGATGTTTTGTGTTTCTGTTAACTACACACTGTATAATATAAGAAAAACCTCCTGATAGAACAGCAAGACCACTGAGATGTCAAGTATGTCCTACAACAAGGCCAGGAAAGCAAAACACATGTGCTATGAGTTTAAGCAATACTTATGTATGGACCATGTTGTTGTCATGTGTGCAGAATGCATTATTTATTTATTTATTTATTTGCAGTACCAAGGATTGAACTCAGGACCTTATGCTTGCCAGGCAGGCGCTTATGCCACTGAGCTATATCCCCAGCCCTGTAGACTGCTTTAGATGTAGTAAATGAAGTAAAGTGTATTTTTTTTTGTAAAGTGCTATTGGCATTTTCATTGTAGTCCACATAAGAATTTGTGGTTTTTTTTTTTAGACTTACTACATCAAAAATTAGTCGATGGTGAAAATTTTGATGCTATTTTATAAACACTCAATAAAAATTAAAAATTCAATACTTTATTTTTGTGTTTTTTTTTCCTGTTAAGTACTTATTGTTTAATATAATAAAACCCCTAATTTTGGGGGGTGGTACTGGGAATTGAACTCAAGATCTCACACTTGCCAGACAGGTGCTGCAAACTCATAAAATTAAAATTACTAATTCATCAATAGAAATATTCTAAAGAATAAATGTGAGAGTTACAGACCTGTTTCTGCACCTTGATGATGAAATTACTTATGCTCCAAGGCCTAGGTCACCTCCCTGTGCCTTCCCCACCTTTGTGAGAGTCCTGCCTCCCATCCTGGCTGACCTGTCCCTCTCTCAGGTTCCTGCCAACCTGTCCTACCCTTACTGTTGAACTGTTCTTCTACTGGGAGGAACTCTTTGAGGTCTGGTTTATTCTGTGCTCAGAGTTAGAAGAATGGCAGGGTAATAACCACTTGTTGCATAAATAAATGATTTGTTGACTGAGCATGTGTTTTTTCTTCCAGCTATCTTTGCTCTTCCACTCCCATACTCACCATACTCTGAGGGAGCAGACACAGCCACATATGCTAGTTTAGAATAAAATTCTTCCTTTCAGAAATATTTGCTTGTTATTTCCAAAATTATGACTATCCTTGCTGTCCCGGAATCAAGGGAGTAAAAGTTAAATTATTATTCTTTGCAGCCCTGGGAATTGAACTGAGAGCCTTTATATTGAGCTATATCCTCAGCCTGTTTTAAAATTTTTTTATTTTGAGACAGGGTCTTGCTAAGTCACTAAGCTGCCTAGGCTGGGCTTGAATTTGAGATCCTCTTGCATCAGTCTCCTGAGTAGCAGAGATTACCAGTGTGTGCCCTCATGCTTGGCTGAAAATTAATTTCTTGACACCTGGGGAGGTGAAACATTTTAACATATATTAATAATGCGTAGTGTCTTCTAAATTGAGTCTAAAAAGTGAGAGAATTGAAAAAAATGACTTATGAAGCAATGTGTGATATGTTAAAAAATCAACAGGACATAGTGTAACTAGTTACAAATAGAAATACACTTAATAAATATTTTAACATATAAGGTCAGTAATGTACTACTGCTGCTTTTAAAATCCATACCCTGCTGGGTGTGGTGGCACACACCTGTAATCCTAGCACTTGGGAGGCTGAGGCAGGAGGAACACTCTGAGTTCAAGGCCGATGTGGGCTACATAAGTGAGTTGAAGGCCAGTCTGCACTACCCTGCAAGACCCTGTCTCAAAAACAAAAAACATACCCTTTACCCTATGACTGCAAAACCAAAACCTGTGTAATACCTGAAGAAAAGAGGTGTTCTTTATCCATATTTATATATTTCCTTAGATATTTTCAGGCATATATATAAAACTAGATTACTGGAATTTCTAATGTCATAAAAACTTGGTAAACATAGTCTGCAATATCTGCGTGATATTGTAATGTACTGTTGTGTCATTGTTTAACTGTTGTCTGCTGCTGGAATTTGTTTCTATTTTTTTCTACCATCAGTATCTCAATGAAAAGTCTGTACACTGTCTTTTTCACATTTCTGAGACTATCTTCAGGATAGATTTTTATTTTATTTTATTTTTGTCTTTTTGAGACAGGGTCTTGCTATATAGTTCAGACTGGCCTTGATCTCACTTTGTAGCCCAGGCTGGCCTCGAACTTGCAATAATCCTCCTGCCTCAACTTCCCGAGTGCTGGGACTACAGGTGTGCACCACCACGCCCGGCTAGGATAGATTTTTAGAGGAGTATAATGGAGTCACAATACTAAATATTTTCAGAATTCTTAATTTGTAGCTTCAAATTACTTTCCATATGTTGGGAGAGGAGAGAACTTACTTGACAACTTTTTCTTTTTTTTTTTTTTTTTTTGGCTGTGTAGCTCAGACTGGATTTGAACTCATGGCAATTCTCCTGCCTCAGCCACCCAAAGGCTGAGATTACAGGCGTGAGTCACCATGCCCAGCTAAATCGTTATATTCTTAACTGCGTATATGGATTCGGGCAGGGTTCTTTTTGCCTGAGTTAACATCTCATATTTATTCAAGTAGTTATTTCCTATTGTGCAGATGTTGACTGCAGGACTGTACCACAATTTAATTACCCATTCAACCACTCATGGACATTTGGGTTCCAGTGTTTGGTTATTATGAATAGAGTGCTATAAATATTCTTGGACACGCCTTTGGTGGGTCTGTATGTGCAAATTAGTTTTGGAGTGGAATTTTTGGGTTATGGGCTGAGCGTACACTGACATTTAGCAGAAACTGAGATGGGTTTTCCAAAGTGTTTGTACCATAAGGCTGTCATCCTAACCCGGCCTCCTGATTTAAGAGGATAACCCAAATGCACCACTAGCACTGGGTAATGTAAGAACCGTAATTGTGTGCACGACTCTGCCACATGCTTCATTATTCAGCTGAAAACACAGATTTAGCAAGTTGGCACCGTTTGACTCTTGGTAGGGTTGGTCAAACGCTTTACTCTAAAAACTACCTCCGGGAACAAACGGCGTATACAAAGTTTGTAAAAGTGGGTGTTTCTGGGCACACCCGGGGTAGTTAACGTAAACATCAAGACTGCAAATGACCCTGTCACAATCGCCCTCCGGAAGCAGCTCAGTCGCCTCCCCGCGGAACAAAGGAAGCGCGCTGCAAAGCCGCGTGAGGATCCGGCCAAACCCAGCTACTCACCTAGGCACATGCGCAGATCGAACACTGCGAAGCTCCCGCGGCCCTGGTGCGCGTGACGTAGCACCGTACGCTTGTGCGTGATGACACAAGGGCGTGCGCTCTGTAGCTCGTAGGGGAAGATGGCGGCTGCACTTTCGGAGGAGAGGGATTGAGACGCGGGGAGGAAAGAGGCCAGACAGGGAAACACTCTCAACTGTGAAAACGAACACATCGCTTGACATTAGGAGCTCTGCTCAACGCCAGACGGTGAGTGCGGCGCAGGTGCGGGACCGCTCGCCTGCAGCCCACGGCGGCACTCCGCCATTTTCAGGCTTGGCCGTTGCGCGCTCTGAGGGCCTGGAGGGGCGCCTGGGGACAGGTCGCAGGGGCCGGGAGGACAGATCCCGGGAGGGTTGGTTGAGGCAGGTTCGAGTTTTAGAGGAGAGAGCTGGAGGCTTGAGGCCGACTGGGGAAGAAGGGCCTGGTGGAAGTAAGGCCGTGACTGGGGTCGACGGCGACGAGGAGACGTAGGTGAGGCGGGCCACGGGTGAGACGTGAAGTTTGCCGGAGGAGGCGCGTTGAAATTGATTTGGGCGGGGGTGGAAGGTTGGCCGAGAGTTGGACTGAGTATGACTGCGAGTGAGTTGTCGAAGGGGTCGCGAGAAGCTAATGTGAAATCTGTAAAACAGCTGAGGCTTTATAGTCTTGGTCTTCTCATAGTTTGAAAGGTATGTTTGTTACAGGGAGAAAAGGGACCGCTTGACAGGCAAACCCCTGCATCTTTGACATAGTGCTCTCTATAAATATCTATTTCAGGAGTCTCTATTTCCAGTTAAAAGTTGTCTTCTGGAGAGTAGATATTAGCATCTTAGTACTCCTGCTTTGTTTTGAGCCGCTGTCCAGTTGTTTCCTGGGCTGGCCCCTAACTCCCGGGGAGCAAGGATTACTAGTGTGTGCCACCTGGCCCGCCTGACTGCCGTTTTAAAGAAAAGTTGATGCCTCCTTCTAACCTTGTGGTTAGTAGCCCTTCCCAAGTAAGGAGAAGGCAGGTCGACAGCGAATTCTGTAATTGGATCTATTTTAAATCAAATCAAACCTAAACCGTGTATAGAAAATCTGTCAAGAGTGTTTTAAATTAGTTTCAACACAGATGGCATTAACTTGTTTTGTTTGTTTGTTTGAGGCAGGGTCTTACTATGCAGTTCAGGCTGGCCTTCAACTCCTAGCGATCCTGCTGCCTCCGCCTTCTGAGTGCTGGGATTCCAGAGGCCATACCCTGCTGGGATTAACTGTTAAAGAACTTTGGAAGAAAGCATATAAACAAAAAGCCTATGCTAAAAGGCACACCTCTTGGGGGCACTACTATTAAGTGCACCCTGGAGATAGAACGAACGCGGTACACAGTATTTTGTGCCTGTGAATGTGGTGCAAAGGTAGATCTACTTAATTCAAACAAAACTTTTACTGGGCATTAAAGTATGTTAAGCCGGGGTGGCACACCCGTGTAATCCCAACACTCAGGAAGCTGAGGCAGGAAGATTGCCAGTATTCCAGCTCAGCCTGGGCTACATAGTGAGTTTAAGGCCAGCCTGCACTACATAGTGAAACCCTGTCTCCAAAAGAAAAAAAGAAAGAGAATGAAGAAGGTTAATTGTTCTGTCAGTAGCATTTTTCTTAATTGCATTTTACACACGTATTTTATTACTGTAAGATACTTTTGCATTTTCTAAGTGGTCTCCTTGCCCTATATACATTTGAGTTTGTGCTAGGATTGGAAGGTCCATATTTAACCTATTTTCTAGAAACTCAGGGGAATATTTTATATTTCTGTTTTTATTTTAAAGAGAAAAGAGGAACAAATTAACAAACCCAAAGACATAAACAAAACAACAAAAAACCAGAAACGATACAGAATTTCAAAGGTGAAAGAAATTAACAATGGGGGCTGGGGACTTAGCTCAGCGGCAAAAAGCACCTGCCTGGCAAGCGCAAGGTTGTGAGTTCAGTTCCCGGTACCGGAGAAAAACCAAAAAAAAAAAAAAAAAAAAAAAAAACAAAACAAGAAATTAACAATGGTTTTGTATTACATATTGTTATCTTCAAATTGGTTAACATTTTATATTTCTTGTCCTGGGAAGAATTTTGGTAAAAAGGTGGCCTATATCATAATGTGTTAGGGGAAAAAAAAGTTACCTATGTGAAGCTGATGACATAATTTTTTTGTTGTTGAAAAACAGTAATTGACTAATTTTGCTATTATAGTTTTATTTTGACCTAAACCTTTAATCATTTTTACTAACCACTTACAGTGCTTATTTAAATCTCTACTGAGTAATAAAAAGGCCATGTACTTTTCATATTACTTTGAGGGGAACATTATTGCCACATTCAAACTTTTTCTTTGTTTTAGTTTTGTTTTAGAGGCAAGGTCTTCCTTGTACAGGCAGGTCTTGAAATCACTGTATAGCTCAGGCTAGCCTCAAACTTGCACCATTCTTCTTGCCTCAGCCTCCTGAGTGCTGGGATTACAGGTGTGGGCCACCATGCCCGATCAAACTTTTTATATTGGAATAAAAAAGTAAAGTTCTAGTAAAGTTTGCTTGCTATTGTATTGTAGTGTATTGTAGTGTAGTGTGTGTATGTGTTTTTTAAGACAAGCTCTACTAGCTCTGTAGTCCAGGCTGGCTTTGAACTCACTATGTAAGCCAGCTGGCCTTGAACTCAGTGCAGACCTCCTAAGTGCTAGGTTGACAGGTGTGTATTATCACACCCAGTTTAAAGCTGTATAATTATGGGGATTTTTCCCTTACGAATGTATGTGACCCCTCCCCCAACAAAAACTTAGAGATTTTATAAGTTATTTTTAAGGGAAGTGGTATTAGTTAGAGCCCTCTGATTAGAAATCTTCATTATCATTATAGAAATCTTCATTATCATTATAAACATTGTATGTTTAATTACATATTATCAACTGGTAAATTGTTGTTTAAGAACAGATTCTAAACTCCTAGTTTTCTACAAAATATTCTAAAAATTTTTTTGTTTTTGTTTTTGTGTTTTTTTTTGTTTGTTTGTTTGTTTGTTTTGTTTTTAAAGACAGGATCTCGCTATGTAGCCCAGGCTGCGCTCAAGCTCACTTCGATCCTCCTGCCTCAGTCTCCTGAGTGCTGGGATTACAGTAGTAATAGTAGTATGCCACCATGCCCAGTTTCATTGTTTTGAAGCTCCATAAGAAATGTTAATTTTTTTGTTGTAATGTGAAATTTTCTTTGTTGTGGTGATGTTTTATGACAAGTTACCTGACTATAGTTTTTTTTTTTTTTTTTTTAGTTTTATTTTTGTTTTTTTTTTGAGGACAACATTTCTCTATGTTGTCCAGGCTGGCATTGAATTTGAAATCCTCCTATGCCAGCCTCTCAAGTGCTGGGATTACATTTATGTGTCACTGGGCCTGGCTAGGACCACAGTTTTAGTATTTATCAGTACACTATTTTGTCTTGTTTTTTATGTGGTATATAGGCCCTCGTGCATGTTGGGCAAGTGCTCTAGTACTGAGTGACATACATTCTTAGCCTTTCTTTTGGTGATGGGGCCTTGCTAAATTGCTAGGCTGGTCTCATAATTCTGCCTCTCAGCCTCCTGAGTAGCTGGGATTACAGGTGTGCCCCATTGTATCTGGCTGTGGTTCAGGTTTAAAACTTTTTTTATGAATACTTTTTCTTTGGTAATTTTCCTTTCCCCATTGCAGACCATTTATAGTAGTACTATTCACAGAAGCATTTTGGCACTTCAGACAACATGACCCATATTATTCTCTTTCTGGTTCCTAAACATTTTAGTAATTTTATGGTAGAGCAGTTGACTTCATAAAGTTTGAGTTGTGCTTTATTTTCATAATTTGAATGCTTATAAAAGCCCAGAGCTGGGTGATAATGGAAGGAGCATCATGAATTTTAGTAGGAGACTCACCTAGGTTTAAATGTCAGGTGCAAAACTAAACTAGCTCTTTTTTGTGCCAGGAATTAAATCTAGGATCTCTGCATGTTAAGTGCATGGTTCACCATTGAGCAACACTCTGATCCCTAAAATAGGATTTTTTGTGTTGAGTCAAGTTCTGTTGAGCTTCAGCTAGGCAGACTGGCTGACTGGCTGACAGGCTGACTGGCTGACTGGCTGTTGTCTTCTCCCCTCCCCTTCCCCTTCCCCTTCCCCTCTTCCTCCTCCTTCTTCCCTCCCCTCTTCTCCCCCCTCCCTCCCCTCCCCTTCTTCCTGCCCCGCCTCGTGTTTTTTTGAGACAGGGTCTCACTGTGCAGTTCAGACTGGCCTCAAATTCACTGTGTCGCCCAGGCTGCCCTTGAACTCATGGTGATCTCCTTCCTCAGCCTCCTAGGTGGCTAGGATTACAGGTGTGTGCCCCTATGCCTGTCTAGTTAGGGTACTTTTAAGGAGCAATTTCTTTTGTCCATGGGATATTCTGGTTACATTCCAGTTTTGTATGTTACGAAAAATTTCAGGTATTTAGAAAATTACAAAGTAGTACACTTTTTTTTTTGTCTTTTGAGACACGGTTTCACTGTGCAGTTCAGGCTGGCCTTGAACTCATTTTGTAGCCCAGGCTGGCCTCAATCTCATGGTGATCCTCCTGCCTCAACCTCTTGAGTGCTGAGATTATGTGTGTACACCACTGTGCCTGGCATTCTTTTATTTTTTTTTTTGTTTTGTTTTTTTTTCCGGTACCGGGAATGGAACTCATGACTTCGCTCTTGCCAGGCAGGCGCTATGCCACTGAGCTAAATCCCTATCCCCCCAGCATTCTTTTTATTTATTACAAACTGGAAATTAGAGGGGCTTAATTAAATATTTTTGACGTAAAGACTTAATTAAGGTGATGATACATGAATTATATTGCATTACATCAGGAAAGACAATGTCTGTTTCTCCTACTGATGTTCCCTGAATAGGGTTGTGGAGACTGTCAGATGTTTGTTTGCCCCAGTATTAACAATGCTGAGTTTACTTGGCTAACATGATATTGGCCACATTTCTTTATTGAAGGGTATATTTTCCCTTTCCAGTTATACCTGACCTGTGGGGTGATAACTTTGGCATTAAATGCTGTTGCCAGTATTTCTCATCTATAATTGAGTGTTGGCTGAGGCGTTTATTTCATTGAGAGGTTTTCTGCTCTATGTACTGTTTATACTCTTATTTGCTCTTTTCTGTTTAAAAAAAAAGCTTTGGTGACGAAGGTGTAACTTAGTGTTAGA